GTAATATACAGTGTACATATATGTATATGTTTTTAACCGAAAAAGGTCAACGCTTCTTTTTTTCGTTAACTGTGTTTTTTCCCCACACTGATTAAGCTTAGTTAGTTGCTAAATACACCTGATAAGCATGCCAAATTTAAATTATTTGTATTTTTCTTGAAGAAAAGAAAACAATGTAGCTCTCTGTATGGGGCTAGATTTGTAATTACAATTCAAAGTCGGCCAAAAATTGCAGGTGATAACGACCTATCAATTCTGTTTGCTTATTAAAATGTCTAGCACAGCTCTGACTCTCAACAATCTTAAGTTATTATGTTTAGGTTATGTCAGCATCTGCTATAGTCCATGATATTCATAAAATTTCCTTGCTCAAGCAAAAACTGCATGTTGCACTGATTTTTTTTTGTGTGTGGTATGACATCAGTATGGCATTCGTTTTGCTGGGCTAATTTTGTCATCGTAGATTGTCTGGGAAAATGTCCGAGGACCTCTACAAATTCTTAAAAAGAAAACAACTTTGTAAAAAAATCTGGGAATGAATGAATGAACTTTATTTAAAAGTCTGAGAATTTAGCTTGGAAAACTAATTGTGAACACTCAAATAATAATAATAATAACAATGACAGTGACAATGACAATGACAATGACAATGACAATGGCAATGGCAATGACAATGACAACGACAACGGTAATGATTATAATAATAATAATAAATGAATAGATAATTACATAAGATACATAAATTTGTACACATGTTAAAATTGTTCTAAAGTAAGAACATAAAACGTAAAACTTATTAATCACATATGTTCTGACGGTAAATCCGTCATCATCACTGTTACGGTTTCGTTACACATAATACTAACATCACAAGTTTTCGATGCGTAAAATTTTACATTTTATAAAATTTTGTATGTATAAAATTTTAAGTTATAAAATTGGGATGTATGAAATTTTAAAAGCAAGTGCGGGCAAACCTGACCGTAAACTGCCGGTCAAGCTGCATGCATACTAGGTAAGCGTCAAATTTTAAGATTGACCAGCTGATTCGTTAATTCATCAATTGTAGGAGCTTGTTGAAACTATTTGAATTAAAGCGACCTCATGATACAAACCTTTTTTTTCTAGGTAAAGATGGTCGACAAATCTTAACAGTCAACCATGCAGGCGCCAAGTTTGGCTTGAACCTGAAGTTAAATATTCAACAGTTTGACTATTATGGATCTTGGACCTCTCAAGCAGGCCTTAAGGTTCTTATTCATCATCACGAGACACCACCGACGGTTGAGGAGCTCGGTTTCTCTTTGGCTCCAGGAACAAGCACCCTTGCAGCAATCAGAAAAGAAAAGGTACGAGTCCCTAACACTTCATTTCAAAGTGCCAAAATAGCAAAATGAATTGTTCTTAAAGAAAGCTCTGATCTATGTCGTAGGGCAAGATAATACCAATTTGATTATCATTCTGAATTTGATTTAGTAAACTAACCACTGAAGCGAATTTGCGAAAAGCCGGTGTTTCGTACTTTGGTTTAGCCTCTCGCTGGAACATTTTGCTTCAACGAAGGGCTTACGCCCAAAACGTTAACTTTTCCCAAACCCACATCAACGTTTAATTTACCTCTAACATCTTCAAGTTGTTTCAAAGTTGATAAGCGACTAAGTGGTCTGAATGTAAACTACTCGTATCAGAGTATTATTTCTTTTGAGACTCGAATTCTATTACGACAGGGTGTACGAGGGTTTCTCTGCCGCGTATACTTGTTTACATACATTACGTATGGGCTCTAAGCTCATATACACGGCTATTTAGATCGCGTATTTACGCATTTTTATATGGTCATATATTGTCGTAAACCCAAGCGCGGGGATATGCACACGAAATAAATGCCCAAATATACGCGTCCAACAAGGACCCATATCTACGCGTACTAAAATGCGCAAATTACATTGTGTATGCCAGAACGGAAAGTGACTTTTATCAGAATGGCTTGTTCATGTTTGGTAGCAACGAAAATTACTTTAACTCGAAATTATCAATATGGCGGCAGTGTTAAAATGATTTGCGGCTAAAGACAGGAATTGCATCACACTAAAATGTGTTCCGGTTAGCCTATGTATCACTACGGTTAGGTTAGGCAGCACTCCGGTTAGCCTAAATACCACTTTGGTTAGCCTGAACAGCACTCCGGTTAGCCTAAGTAGCGTTTCGGTTAGCTTAAGTTAGCGCTGACTTGGAAATGGTTAGCTCTAACTTTAATAAGGTGCAATTCCTGTCTTTAGCTGCATGTGCAAAACGTCTTGTCTTGGTCTATCTGCTTCTGCTCCAAATCCCATACGTAAGGTTTGTTAACAAGTATAAGCAGCAGAGAAACCCGCGTATACCCTGTCGTAATTTTGAAACAAATGGCCAACCATATTAATCTTCTTTCCTTCCTTCCAACCTTCTTTGTCTCTCTTCCTGCCTTTTTTCCTTCCGACCTCAGTCTCCCCTTCTCTCCCTCCAACCCTTTCCCGGTCTCTCCTCTCTCGCTTGTTTCTTTCGACGTACTTCCTTTGTATGTGAGAAACACCTTACACTTTAGATGCTCTCTTTACATGCTTCAGGAAATACAAATACTGTTGAATGATTGTCTATATTGATTCAATGTTTAAGGTTCATAACCTGAGGCATCCCTATGAAACGAATTGTTCAGACCATGCCATCGAACACCTTCCTGGTTACAGTAAATATACAACGCCTGCGTGTATGCTGGCGTGCCACTCAAAATACCTGGTTGAAAAATGTGGCTGCAGGGACGTGAGGATTCTTGGTAAGTACCAGCTTGTCGACTTAGAACAACGACATCGACAAAAATCCCATCGATAACTACAACGATAAAGTGAGCAGTACAAACAGCAACGAAAACACCAACCACAACAATAACAACAACAATCACAACACAAAGAACAACCACAACAAAAACATCAACAAAGAATATAGTAAAACAAATATATATGTTTGTATCCTTGGCGTTCGGAGCTGTTAAAATGGTTTCCTTACCCATGAAGGATTTAAGACTGTGTCCATGAGAAAACCATGCAGATGGTAATACAGTTGAAATCAACGGTTTCGCTCAAACTTGGCACAAATGTTGGCTTTGGCGAGTGATTATGGATAAAATGTAAGTCAAAAGATTATATTCCCTTCAAGTTAACAAAAATAGCCAGTTTACACTAATTTATGCTTATTTAATTAATTGCCGGTCTTTAGTTTAGTATTTGTACAACAAGAAAGGCCATGTGAAAACCCACCATAAAACACTTCGCCGACACTCCGCCATCTTTGACGTTGAAAAGTTAGTGGTGATCTTCCTTTAATTCAATAGGCACGTCATGTATGGTGATACAAATTGTATAGAAATATGATTCTCAAAGATGGCGGAATGTTCCGTGGTTGGGTTTGGACGAAATCTGTATAAAAAGCAGCAGCTACGGCTCGCTCTTGATTTTGGCCGGCCTTTTAAGTAGCTTTCAGTTGAAAAACCTGTTGACATCTCTAATGGTGAAAGCGAGACGGCAATGGATATTGTTTTTTTGTTTTGTTTTGTTTTGTTTTTCATTGACGCGCGTCGATCAAACGAAAAGATGACTAAAACAGAACACTTTGAAAGGGCATCAAAGTTCGTAATGTTCTATGTAAAGATTACGCCAGCACAGAAAAAAAAATTGAAGTCCTCAAACATTTAACGGCTTTTTTGAGAATTTTAGTGATTGCTCTCACTATCCATATTAGAATAACGTGTATTTTGAGAGAAATCAAATTGTCTTGTTCAAATGAATATCTGTGCTTTGAGACTGACAATTGTAGAATATGATTCAATGGATTTTATTTTCACATAATATAGCCTTTCTTGTAGAAGAGAAACTATAAACCAAAGAGAGCTAATTAAATATGCATAAATTAATGAGAAATGGCCATTTTTGCACGGGTCCCCTCTAACTTGATGGAAATAAAGCCTTTTGACTTACTTTTTCGCGGTAATCATTCACTCACCAAACCCAACATTTCTGCAAGTTTGAGCGAAATCGGTGATTTAAGCTGTATCACCTGTTTCCCAGTTCTGTCTGGTTTTCTCATGAACATGCTCTAAATTTCCCCATCATTGCACGTTTTGCTTAAGTCACGGATAATGTCCGGGAATTTGAAAGATACTTTTAGCGGTGTTTAATTTCCCGATTTTTCTTCAAGTTGAAGCAAACATTGTTTATCAGGGAAGACAGGTGCCAATTCTACGTAGGAGTCAAAGAAGATACATTGATTTTAAGCCGTTCCGGAACTCATCTTCTCAAAATCATTAGTAATTTATCATGTTTAAACAAAGTAAATCATGACCGTGACAGTGTTTGGATATCTAATCTTAATCAGCATAGATTTTTGCGATTTTATTTCTCCGTTTTCTCCTTAGTTTTGGTTTCGATTGAGAAGATATAACAAATTCTCAAGACGTCAGAGTTTGACCACATTTCCAAACACCTCGAAGTTCGTCAAAAGTACTCCGCTGCGCGTCGTATTTTCAACTCTTCTCTTGGCGTTTGAAAATGTGGTCAACCACGATCTTTCATGTTTGATATATTACATGAACAGCTATTGTGTGGTCAAAAGCAAGCTAAAGCTCTCCTGTTGAATGCTATTGAGTTGTGTTGAACAGTTTTTTTTTTTTTCAGCTGAAACGAACGCCGAAGTATGTGGTATACACAAAATGGCAACCTGCCTCTTTCGTGAATACGGTAGGTTGCATCGTTTCACACAAAACAATCCTTTGCAGGAAAAAAAGATGGTGGATGTACATTTTACCACAATGAGCCTTACACAGCCTATAAAGTACAAGGAAAGCCAAATTTTTGCAATATTTGTCCCTGTGCTGACGACATTGTGTGTGCTAGAGTTAGAGATTTTTATGTACGTTTTTATGAGCATTGTGTCTTATGAGCATTGTGTCTTCGTGCGCTAAGAATTATGGGTAAATGAACCAGTCGCCATGTTTATTTCTTGCCTTTATCTCCATAATTACACACCCCAAGAATTCGAGCAAAAATGTGTAAGGAAATGTATGCTTGCGGATTTGCTGGTGGTCAATGTTATATCAACGATAACACTTTCAAAACAGATAATCTACAAGTGTCTACCTCACTTAGCCCGGGAGACTACAAAATTTGTCTTATTATACATTGAAGTCTCAGTCCCTATATATCTCTCTCTAACTTAATCCATATCTACAGGGACTTTTTTTCATCAGTCGAGCGTTCTTCTTCGGCTGATAACACTTACAGGTATACCTTGGTTATTCATTACGAAAAACCTGTTCGAATAATTGTTTTGGTCGATATGACCCGTGCGGCCTCGCTCACACAATCCTATCAGTTGAAAGCCATAGTACCCAGGGGGCAGGGGGGGGGGAAGGTTGGGGGGGAGTAGTATGATCAAAGTAGGCTAGTTCAACTTGCAGAAAGAAACACTGGAATGATATGTTTTTGATCTCGCTTTCTTTTACAGAAGATTTCTATAAGGTCTTTGGGGAACGCTGCAAGTGTCCGGTTCCCTGTGAGATAACGTCTTTTAAAGCTGTCCTGTCTTACGCTGCCTTCCCAAGCCATATCTTTCTAGAGGAAATGATAAGAGTGAATGTCAAAAATGCTACAGAAGAAGAGATAAAAGATTTCATTTCGATGGTCTCGTAAGTATTATAAATAATTTTATCATGTTAAAGGGCCTGCATGGTAAGAAAGCGCCTCGTTCCATACTAAGAGTAAAACACGGAAAATTGGTGTTTCCACAGAGGGTGCGGGGCAAAGGTAAATAGTCCCGGGCTGCACGTGGTTTTGATTTGTTGATTTTTATTGGCTAATAAAAAATTCCAGTGGACATTATTCGTTATCCAGGCCCCTTAAGGGTTCTGAGACTACAAGAGGCACAGAGGAGTAATCTTAGCGCATTAGTCTAAGTCAGTATCGAGTGATAGGCTGGGATCACTTTACTCTCACTGTGCCCCTTTCTATAAATAAATACTAGTGGTAATCAAAGATTATGAGAGTGCGTTCGACGCCGTCACTTTAATATATATATGCCTTAAATAAATGGTTACACTAGCTGATTTTCTCTGTCTATTGCCAAAAATAGACAACCGAGGTTTTACAGACAGATATATCATAGTGTAAAAGTCCATTCATTGATTCATTCAATCCATCCATCCATCCATCCATTCATGCCCTGTGCTAACTATGATTTGTTGATTGGTTGCGTGACAGCACCAGTTTCCGTCGACTCAAATTTCGTGCTAATTTCGTGCTAAGTATTCTCACATAACTGGTAATGTTTAAGCGTAAGAGTTAATTTGAAAAAGTATATTTTATATACATTATTCTAAGCTGGAAGCACAAATATAAGCAAAGATTTGCAATCGTGTGCTCGTTTATCGTCAGCGTAAAACAAACTCCGTGCGACTTATTCGAGTATTTCGCCTGATGAATAAAGTAAACAGCATTTACATAATTTGCCGTTCCTTGGTTCAGGCACACTCACCGGATAAAGACTGAGCTACATGTATCTGTCGCGACTGGAACTAATCAACAAAATATAGCTGGTTTCCTATAATTATAAACATTCCAAAGCCAAGCCGGTTCAAAGTCGTGCTCGTTAACATAGAAACTAAACAAGGACAATTCCCTCAGATTTCGATAAATGCTACCGTCGAAGCGTTTATATTCACCAATATCCAACGCTGAGAGCACAAAATAGCGAAGCCCACGGCGACTGAATAGTCAAAGAAAGATCCAGCGCAAAGACGAGCTCGCATGGCCTGCTTACATGCTCACATGTTCGCCGCATGTCTCATCACATGTAATCACATGTCTGCACATGTCCCTGCAAAAATCAAGCGGGGTGGCAATTTTGGTGTCCTTACAGGATTGTGGTTTTTTTTTCGGCCTATAACCGTGCACAGGAAAAACAACTCTGGAAAGCCACAGGTCAAAATTAGGCTTGCGTTCTTCGAACGCATTAAAAGAGTGAAGACGAATAGAACATATTCGTATTTTCGGTATTAGACTGGAACTAGCTTGCAGCGGAGGTTTATGCATGGGTTATATCGTTTTTATCTCTTTTTTTTAAAAAAAGAGAGATAAATATGATTTGCATTTGAAAAGACTGCCCGCGTTAGCCTCAGTTGCAAGCTAGTTCCAGTCCAATACCGAGAAAACGAATATGGCTTATTGTCAGAACAGCATACCAGTTGCTAGGATAGGATTACCTAGGATGTACTGTATCCCTCACAGGGGCTAAATCCTCGTAGTCACTTCATGCAGTGACTATGCTATGGAAAGCCAGATATAAGCGCCTGTCTATTTGATAAATCGTCAAACCTTGAATAGATACTTTCACCACAAAAGGCTTATTCTAGGCTTTTTTTTCCTGTTGTCTTAACGATTCCCTAAGTGCCCTATTTATCATTTCTGGAGATATCATGTTTTCGTTTTTTTAAAACAGGCATTTCCAGGATTAAATTAATGAATCTGAAGTTGATAACTAGAGAGCTCAGTCACGGCATTTTGAGTTACTTTTGTCACGTACAAAATTAGTTTTAAATTAAAGGAACCCTGGAAAAGAAGTTTTCTAAGATAGAAGAACACATCAAACAGGTAATGATAAACCACAAAGAAACAAAGATAGTCAAGGATGGAGAAGATTGAAACGGATCACAAACGAAGAACTTGAAAAATTTAGGCTTAACGTTTCAAGGAGCACAAACCGTGACGTAATTCCTTTAAAGGTCCCTATAAAGTTAGGCTACCGTAAGTAACTTCGAAGCGCTTCTTCCCTCTCTAATTTTCATCACCTTATGACATATTTTCTTTCTTTTGTTTCGCAACAGTGGAAACTTCTTAGAACTTAACGTGCATTTTCAAGACCTGAACATGTTTGTGCTCGAGCAACAACCCGCTTACAGTAAAGAAAGTCTGCTTGGTAAGTGTTGGGAACGAATAGTTTCTGACTTCCAGCCAAACGGAAGTTCTGCAAACATAAATCCAGATGCAGATAAAGAAAAGTATACTCTTTCATGACTCCATGGCTGCACCACGTTGTAATTAGAATCAGTTAAGATGTACCAAGAGGGTATAAAGTGTAAAGGAGTTAGTCCTCCATATTGGCCTTATTCTAAACAGTTATTGAATGAGGTTTTTCTTTTGATATCCAGAATAATATCAAGGTCGAGGTAGGTGTGATCAGCCGAAGCCGAGGGCTAAGGCTGATAACCTTTACCGAGCCCTTGCTTATTCTGGATATCACAAAAACCGAATCTAAGTCATGTATTTGTTTCTTCACTGACGGAAAGCAACACAAAACGCGCGAACTTGACATGATTACCCTCAGAAATTATGCACCGCGGTCATACACGACACGATTACCCGTGACCTTGAGTGTCCTTGACATAATTATTGTATAATCTGCAGCTAGATGACGTCACAGGCGCTGATTTCGAAAATTCACTGTACGCTTTCAGCCATTCAGAAAAGAGATAGTGAGTTCAATGTATAATAATTTAGGTAACTCCTTTTAAGTTAGTTTTTAGGTCAAAACCCCACTAGGGTCTAAGAATGGCCGGCACTGTTAAGCGGGCTTTAGACATACGTGGACAGTCCATTCTAGATGAGTCGACACATGTCGTGAATTAAACGACGAAAAAGATACTCAAGCTACGAAAAGGTTAATTTAAGAGACACTATTAATACTAACGCTTATCTGTCCGTTTTTAGTTCGGAATAAGTTGCACAAGTGGATTTATTTATTTATTTTTTCTGTTTGTCAGGTGAAATAGGCGGACAACTTGGCCTTTGCATTGGTGCCAGTATTTTGACCATTTTGGAGTTCTGTGACGTTATATTCACCATTTTGAAAATACGGTTTGGAAGAGCTGGATAACGTTCTCACACCAATTTTATATTAGCTGTAGCCCTTCTGTAAAGAGCACTCAATCGCCGCATCCTCTCAGTTATTAAAATTTCACGAAAGTTTTCGCAGCGTGATAAGATAGATATATTCTCAATTAGGATAAATCTACTTGCGTTCTACATTAACGAATGCCGTTCTATGCGTAATAGAACTCGAGAGCGAATAATCTAATTGCTAAATGGTGACTGACATGAAACAACAACAACAACAACAGAAACAGCAAAACAAAACAAACAGGCAAACAAACAGACATCGCGAGGGCTCTGGAAACGTCACTGGTTTGAAATTCGAAAATCTTACTCGTACTCGTAGTCCAATCTAAAGGTCTCTAATAATTGGACAATTACTACAGGCAAACTTCCTTGAAATTTTCATTTCAATAGTCAGTAGTTGTGATTTTTAGGAAATTGATTGTAAGATCTTAATTCCGGTGTACTTCGTAAGTGATTGCATGTTTTTCCATAGGGAGTGGCCGCAATCAATTTAACAAATTGACGTCAGTTTTTCATGCGTCTGTCCGGTTATTGATCATGAATTTCTTCATAACATTGTTAAAGTAGCTGTGGATCCACGAGGCGATAGCCGAGTGGATCCGCTGGTTGACGCATCGCATAAATTATTAATTCATGTGTCTGTCCGCTTATTGACAATAACAATTAGCCAATGAGCGCGCGAGAATTTCTGCAGTTATTGTAAAAAATAATATTAGCCTATCACCCGCATCAATTTTCCTTGATGTTTTAGTTGGTGCTTTCAGAGATTTGGTTGGCTTCTGGTTAACTATGCTTTAATTATTAATGACAATTTTGCCAGAACTTAAGCATTAATTTATACACAACAGTACAGCTATCAGTTGTGTTTACCCAAATGGTCAAGCACAATAACAACATGAGCTGTTTTTCGACAAGGTTGAGCAAAATATCGTGATATGTCAGTGTATTATTTAAAAATAATTGAATTTTGAGACACAAACAAATCATGATACTTTGCAAAAACCGACTTCAAGAATTGTTTTATTATTCGATCACCAAGTTTGATTTTATCTATAAATCACTCTCTGACAGCTCATTGAAGCGATCCGCAATTTTTCACACGACCGCGTGGTTACAATTACGCGTGAGCAGAACATTATTTGCAACAAAACACATTAATATTAAGACGGTGCTACGAATGAGCAGACCATTTCTTCGCAGGTCACGTAGTGGCTCTCGGCAAATCAAAAGGATGGAAAAAAATGTATTGAATGATAATATTCAGTTACACTTGGATAACAACAATTTTCAGAAATCTTTGTCGGAACGCAAGCCACCAGAGCTATAGTGCACATGTACCTATGCTGTAAGAATAAATAGGTGTAATTTTAGTAATTTCCCATGTACAGTCGACTCCCGATAACTCAAACCTTCAGGAGAAATAGTAAAAGGTTCGAGTTATCGGAAGTTCGAGTTATCGAGGGTAAAATTATATAGAAAATGGCCTGAAGGGAAATGAAAATTACTTCGAGTTAGCGGGAGGTTCGAGTTAGCGAGGGTTCGAGTTATCGGGAGTCAACTGTATACATGAAAATGTAGGGCACTACATTTCTGATGTATAATATGAGAGTCCTGGTTACAAGATTCTGTTAATAAGCGCACTCCCTCCACTCGTAGAGTTATCTGCATGGTGCATACAGTTCCCAAGATATGACTCACATTATTACAATAAACATCACATCTAGATTAAACGTACTGTTATTCTAAATACAATGTAATTTAAACCTATACCATTTGAGATCCATTTTGTTAAAAGATTTTGTACTTGTAGCTTTCAGTTTTCAAAAGAGATGATTTGAATTATGTTGATTGTAACAGACCAATTTTTTATATTACACTTGTTTGGTTTAGCAGTGGACAAGTGACAAACAAGTGACACGAAGCGGACCAAAAGGACCTCAGTATTGATTTTACTGTATCGAGGAGTTACGGAACCGAAAATAAGGCATTTATCCATTGTACACATTATAAAGTGCTTTTGCCTGTGTTGTGGGCGTCCTCACTGCTGTTACTGTACTAGCTTGTGTTTAATAGAAGCAAAGCAAGAAAAAGACACGGGATTTCAGGGTCTTCCAGCGTTCGACTCGCTTCAGAAATTACTCTCATTTTATCCTTAAAACGGCTTCCGATGCCATTCTATTTCTTCGCCCTTATAGTGCAAGAATGCTACAACGTTTCTGTAAAAATAAAATTGCACGTACTGTAACGACAGAAAATCCCATATTTTTCAAAGTAGCGCATTTTGAGTTTGGAACTAATCGGTTCTACATGCAGCTAACCGGATGCACATCTATATAGCGTTAAACCTCCTGGTATTGTCAAGACATCTGTACGTATAAATTAACAAAATGAAAGGAACGTCTGTCACATTTTCAATACACTTTTTTATATAACAATATGTATTGTTTCTTATAAATGATGTTTGCAAATAAATAATGAAATGTTGAAAACATGACAAGCTCCTTTTACTGCGCATTTACCATATTGCCATTAAAACAATGTCAGCAGGCCGTTTTCCTTGAGCGCTTTTGTCACATCTGGTTTTACAATCCAGGATTTACCATTTCTAGCGATTCGCTATTTTAAACGTCCAGCATTTTCATATAACGTAACCATTTGCAAGCTTTCTGTCAAAATCGTCCAATCTAAATTCGTAATACAATCACTTCCTTAATTAGATGCGGGAACATATGGATCGACCAAGGCTTCCTTTCTGTCATAAAAAACGCGGCTGAATGTGCAAGTACTGCAGAAAATAGACATGGGAAAAGGGACTCCCGAGGAAAGCTTTCTGCCGAAAGAAAAGACTATTAGGGCCGCTGCTATAAATAGAAAATGGAGGCACTTCCTCGGAAACTCAACTCTTCATGGCTTGCAATACGTGTTTAACAGCCAGACGAAGTTTTGAAGTGTAATATGGGCTGTATTCCTCCTCATGGCTACAGCGTTCTTTGTACTTAAGTCTTCGCTGCTCCTGAAAACATACTACAGTTACGAAGTTACCTCCAAGGTAACTCTGAAATACGAGAAATCACCTGAGTTTCCCGCGGTCACCATTTGTCATTTCAACATGCTGAGGGAGTCTTTCGTGAAAGAGCATAAGGCTGAAAAGGTGTTAGAGCAAGCTTTATGGTTTTCATTAAGGACCAACATAAACCGGAGCGTGGTAAATTGGAAAGAATTTGGCAATCTCAGCATGAAGGACGTGTACGAGAAAGGAGGCCATCAAATCAAGGAAATGATGAAAACATGTTCGTGGAGCGGAGAAGAATGCGATGCCAGAAACTTCACCAGAATTTTAACGCCGATGGGTCTTTGCCACACTTTCAATTCGGGTAAGTTCCGTAATTCTTTGTTTCTGAGATAAATATATCTATATATGTATATATATAGGTGTGAACGATGTTGGTTTGCCCACGATGATGCCTTGGAGAAAAGGATCCATGGCCAGTGGATACACAACGCTTCTTCTTTAAAAAATCATAGGTTGAATAAACAGAAGAAGATGCCAACTTTTCTCGTTTGTGGTCTTTAATTCAGATCGACGTTTCGCCCATTCGGGCTTCTTCAGCACTAAAAATATCAATACTCGGAATAAAATTTACAAAAAGTGAAAAAGCTTTAAATTACAAAACACTAGCTAACAAAGAGAACAATGAAATTAAAATATTTTACATAAAATCCCATAAGAATTACGTAATAATTAAAAATAGTAAAAACACCCGCTAAAAAGCAAATAAAATACAATAAAATACAATAAAATACAGCAGCAAGATGGTGTTAATTGTAACGAATCCTATTCCTGGAATTTAACTCGCACCTTTTGTTAAGTCCATGTGGTTTGAGGGTGCATAATTGAGCACACCAAAAAGCCTCTCTTGTGAGCAGACGATCATCAAGACTATTATTGCTGACGCTAAGGTTACATAACTGTTCAATAATTAAAAATTAAAAATCTGCTAGAGCATGAGGTTCTTTGTTAAAATGAATGTCAACTTCACAAGTACGTTTTTTAGTGATCATAGAAGATTTGTGGTTGCGGAAACGAATTTAAATTCATTACTTGTGGAACCAACATATTGCACATTGCATTTCTTGCACGTAACCAAGTAGATGACATTTTTAGATTTACAACCAAGAATCTGCGTAATTGGATACGTCCTGCTAGTGCTAGTGCTAGTAAAGCAATTACTTTCCTTTAAATAATTGCGTCACAGATCACATTTTTTAATGGCTGTGCACTTAAGAACGGTGCCTACTAAATACAAAGGTTTTTGCGCCTGGTTAGGAGCACGCCGAAAAGGTAGATCTTTACAAGGGCTATTGGAATCCACAAAGAAAAATTGGGATAGCCACGCATTTTTCCGAGATAATCAGCCTTGAATCTCAGCAAAAAAGCTGACATCAGCATTTTCTGAAAAAAGAAGGAAAGGATATTTCTTCACAAATTTCCTTCGAATTCTCCTTTACAAACAGAAAAGCAAACACATTTATAAAGATCTTAAAACTGCATGGTAAATGGTAACATAAAATCCATTTTTTGTATGCTTTTAATAACAAAATCGTTGTAACAGCGCTTTTAGCGTCTCTGACAGCCTTCCTCTGGTTCAGCCAAAATACAGTCTAAATACCTTTTGCTNAGGGAAGCATTAGCCCTCAAAATACCCATTAGCCATTTAAGGATGGTGCGTACTAAATACAAAGGTTTTTGTGCCGGGTTAGGACCACACGGAAAAAGTAGATCTTTGCAAGGGCCATTGGAATCCACAAAGAAAAATTGGGGTAGCCACACATTTTTTCGAGATAATTAGTGTTGAATCTCAACAAAAATGCTGACATCAGCATTTTCTGAAAAAAAGGAAAGGATATTTCTTCACAGATTTCCTTCAAATTCTCCTTTACAAACAGAAAAGCAAACACATTTATAAAGATCTTAAAACTCCATGGTAAATGGTAACATAAAAACCATTTTTGCAACAGGGCTTTTAGCGTCTCTGACAGCCTTCCTCTGGTTCAGCCAAAATACAGTCTAAATACCTTTTGCTCACAACCAGAAACTAATCACGTGTTGAATAGGCTTGCCACTTCCATTTCATAACATAAAATGTGGGGGTAACCATCCGTTTTTTAAAATTATTGATCTTTTTTCAAAACTTTTATGGTACAATTACATTTTTTCCTATCACCTCCCCAGTAAGTAAAAGATTTGCGTATTTTGCATTTGTTTTGCTTGCGCACTATGCCATCTGTAGGTACTTGTTTACAGTTGGATTTCAGTATAATTTTCGCCAGATAACAGCTAGTTTTTCAGCTGGAAGACGTTAACAGTAAGTGGTTACTGATATGCTGCTATTTTGGTGTTCCTGGTTTAAGTACGGGTTCATTAAAGTGTCCATAATGTCAAAACTTTTTTTTCCCTCATCTAATTCTACATTTCACCTAATGAGATTCTGCAAAAAAATTTTTCGATTTGGATAAAATGCAATTTTTTTACAAATCTTTACAAAGTTCAAAATTCTATTTTCTTGCGGTTGACCCCTGCCGCTGATCACAAGAATAACGTGCTGAAAATGGCCACGCGACTGATGCTTGTGACGTAGGTTCAGGAACCTACGATGAAGACTGATGCTGTTTTCTGGATCATTAATGTTGTTACAAAGAGTGGCAATGCACCTTTCCAGCATTTTCAACTAAATGTAGACAACTCTGAAGCAAAATTTCCACTTGTTTTCTAGTCAGATAAGTCATGACCCAAATCACGTGTTCCTGAACCTACACCACGACTCACTTCAAACCGAGGAAGACTGGTGCGAATGGTGGACTAAAATGGTGGCAAATTTGAACGTCTTTAAAAACTTATAAAAAAATTGCATTTTATCCAAATCGAAAAATTTTTTCCCAGAAGTTCATTAGGTGAAATGTAGAATTAGATGAGCAAAAATAAATTTTTGACATTATGGGCATTTTAAACTTGATTTGGTCACAGTAGGAAAATTTTGCTTTCTTTTAGTCCTGTACTTGGTAGCGTAGTTGATTGCATCAATGTCAACCCCAGTGCGTGCATGGTGCTTAAATCATGCCTTGCGTGATGCGCAGAAAGTATGCACACTCACAAAAGTAGGCACCGTCCTTAACACCTGCTACAAATTCACCTCTAATTAAACTTGCAGATCCCTATCATATTATTTTCCTTTAGTGATAAGAAATATCATCTTTAGACTGTTTCTGGTCTGCTTGCAGGTGGCTTTTTCTATTGAGGTCCAACAAGTGTTCATTTCTACCCTGTCTCTCTTCCTGATTTTTGAGAAAAAAAAAAGAATGCAAGCAGTCTAGACTAGATTGTTTCAGGATCCTGACAAAGTCACCTTGTTCCTTGCTGTATTCACTTGAAGTTTAGGACAGGTCTCACTCACACAGAGGAACCTGGATCCCACTCTAAATTTGTAGATTGGCATTCTCCCACGTGAGGTACCGCTGGAACTATCTCCTGGTGTAGCTTGAAACAGAAACTCAAGTGGAAATACTGCAAATGATCAAGTTTGAAAGCCAACAGTTCAGCTGAACACATCAAGCTCTTGCCTCATGATCCAAATGAAATCAACCCCTTTTCAAATACTGAGTAGCTAGAAATCTATTTCTCAAAATGAAAAGAACTGGTTTCAATTTGAGGACATTGGAGCATATGTCATCATTTTTGTCTTATACCACCAACCATACAGATGCATTCAAATGAGTGCCCTAGTGACACACCCCTACAAAAGATTTTCTACTTCCTTAAAATTCAATTCAGTGCACTAACACTCCGACGTTTTACTAACTTTAAACTTTTCTTCTCATTTCTTAAAATAAATTTTTGGTTAGTTGTGGTTGACAAAGGGTCACATTATCACGTGACTTTAACATGGGTTGAATGAAGCTCACGTTAGATTCTCGCCAATGTCAAATTTCCATCTCTTTAGAGAAAAAACAGAGGTAGACTCAATTTCAAGATGTATTGCCAGCATTTCCTTTCTGTTGTGCATCCTCCTGCTTCTGTTCAGTGGTTGAACTCTTCACTTCATGTACAACAGCAGTAGCAGCATTAGTATTCGAACTGTGTTCTTCCTGTTTGTTTTTCAAACCATGTTCGTTTGCGTATCTCTCGAGCAAGGGCCTGAAGATATATACTCCGCTGGTAACTCCGACTAAAGTTACTACAAACAGCTGATGAAAAGGCATCCTTCCTATGAAGTCTATGAAGGAGGACAGCATTTTGTCAGAAATTGTCAGAAGTGACAGGCGTTACTCACTCTCGTCTGCGTAAAGACTGGGTTCTACAAATATAACGCCTTGCTGATTTTGATTTCAAAATGGCGGTAGAGGATGTGACCAAGCGAAAACAGGCTCCAACCACTCCTCTAACCAATAAGTTATCTCCTCAGTTGTCTTCTATCCGACAATCAGAAGTGTCTTGTGAATCGTCAAATGTTATGTTTGTACCAGAAAGGTATCTACTAGCGGGGTTACTCCTTTTCAGGCTTGTTAATGCATTTCTCATCCAGACATTTTTTGTGCCTGATGAATTCTGGCAGGGACCCGAAGTTGCGCATAGAATTGTATTTGGATACGGATATTTAACGTGGGAATGGAGAGAAGGTCTTAGAGGCTGGAGTTTTCCCTTGATCTTTGCAACAAGCTATAAATTCTTGGCACTGTTTGGAGTTGACACTGCTAAGTTCCTTGTTGTAGTTCCAAGACTGGTACAAGCTTGTTTTGCATCCTGTGGCGATTTGTTTTTGTACAAACTAGCAGTGAGGAGGTTTGGTCCGCAAAGTGGAATATGGACGCTCATTTGCTACCTGATCTCTTGGTTTACAATTTATTGTGTGACTAGGACATTGACAAATTCTTTGGAAACTGTGTTGACGACAATTGCCTTGTACTATTGGCCATCGACCCACATAAGAGACAATGATAATAGCAACGAAATCAGCAAAGCTCTTAGCTTTGCAGCCTTTTCGTGTATCATCAGACCAACAGCTGCCATTATTTGGATTCCATTATGTGCAATGTATTTACTATCATCACCAAACAAGTCATTGTTTATATTTAAGTGTATTTTTCCAATTGGATGTTTGGCCATGCTGTGGTCTCTTGTCGCGAACAGCTGGTTGTATGAGAAGTGGACACTAGTGGAGGTCAACTTTGTCAAGTTTAATGTCATTAATGATATGGGGACATTTTATGGAAGTCACCCATGGCACTGGTAAGCTGGAGTTAGATCAGGCCATTTCACTTACCCTGTGCATTTTTGTCTTGTACCAGTTCACTACTGTCTGAAAGAGGGACTGGTTACAGTTAGCAGTGTAACAATTAATCAAATTCTCAATTAATCACGATTATGACCGTTCGGTTCGATTCCCAATTCTTTGATTCCAATTTTCGATTTTGGTTCGACTTTTTGCGTACCTTTCACAGAGTGTCCTCAGTGAGTTTTTATATTGTGAAATCGGAATCCAGAACTCTTTAAAATGTGCGTTTTTGATTGACAAGTAGAGACGTTTGCAGTTCGTGCGCCATTTTGTGTTGTGTGGTTAAAATGTTGCCCTTCTACCACCCCTTCAGAATTTCCAAACAAGGCAAACCATGTGCGACACGCTCATTGTATCCTAAAATTGAGGGTTTAGGGTTGTATGTTGTTTACATTGTGTATCATGTCGTAAGAATTAAAAAAAACATTAATATGTTACATAATCGAATTGAAATCGAAATCGAATCGAATTGCAAGGAATATGAATTGTTACACCCCTAGTTACAGTCTTGCTTACTGTTTTGAAGTAATTCCCAAAATCGATCGACTGAATTCTCCTTAAAAT